CTACCATTTTAATCAGTTTTCTGCAGAGCAAAGATATAGTTGTTTGCAAAAAGAGCCTATCTTTTAAATTACATTTCATTTCCTCTAACCTGAAAAAGTCCGTTCTACAAGAGGTTTGTCAAAGAAACATGCACCCAGCTTAAAAAAAAACAGAAAATGAAAAAAAAAATGTTATTCACGTCATGCTGTACTCTAAAATAAATCCAATAATATAGCATAAACGTGTAGTTTGAGGCCCTGCTAATATGCTTCATTTTCTACATTTTGTTTTGCTTCCTTATTCATCTTTAGTTATTAGCTATTAATATTACTTTTCTAACTGCACACATTCTAATTAATCAGTTTCACTCAATGTTGAAGTGAAGCCATTAAAAAGATAATTTATCGAAAACGTGTCATTTGTAAAAGTAGTGTACAGGTTTTTTATTGAAAGCAAAGAACCAGATGATAATGAATATTTTGTCTCATCCCTTCCCGTTGGAGTTTTAGGGAGGTTTAGAAAGCGACTACGTTGTTCTACTAACATCTTACCGTTTTGCTTTCAGCACATTAATTTTCACATTTTTCATTTCCATTTTGTACCGTGACTACCTATAAACATATCTCTACATTTGATCACATATGAACTTCAGATGTTTTTCTACAAAGGATGTCAAAATATTTTACTTTGTTTCGTCATAAACAGTGGGAGGAAAGCTGATAACTTACGAAGCACTTGTAAAAGCTCACATTTTTCCTTCGGTATTTTTGGTGAAGAAGCTAATATTTTTGCCTGAATCATTAATCACTATTTGGAAATCAGTGGGCCGGTCGCTGGAAACTGATCAGAAATGGGATACAGAACAACTGTCTGCCTTTCATGTTAACAAGAAACCTCCACGGCAATGAAAACAGCAAGTCTTCTACAAAAACATGTCTGGATATAATAACAATAACAAAAGCTGATTACAGGACATTCATCTCCCCACTGCAAAAACAATGGACCCAACAGTTTATAAAAAGTAGGACACAGATGTAAACAATCAAAGTCTCCACACGCAAATATGCAGAACATTAACATGATTTCTGCTTACTGTTCTCAGCTGAAGCTCTTAGCATGGTTTTGTCCAGTAACATCCTTTTATCTTCATCATTCTGTTTATGAGGTCTAAACTCATTTTGAGTTTAGACCTCTTAAACCTGTCTTGTGACCTCTTAAATTTGTAGCCCTGTAACTTAACATTCTTTAAAGAGCCTTTCTGAGAACAATCTGCTGTCTGAGTTTTAAAATTGTAATCGAGCTGGTTTATGCCAATGACAAAGCCTGCGTTTTACTTTCCTCTTTAGACATGTGTGGCGTAGACACGTCCTTACTGAACTACTAAGAAATTACCAATGCTTGACAAAACAAAGAAGAATTTCAGAAAAATATTACTTTTAAGCTCTGTTGGGAGAAGCAGAATAAATTTAAATTGGTTTTACTTGCTCTGGAAAGATGAATAGACAAAAACCACAACGGAAAATTATACCATTTTGTTTACTGAGGAAAGTATAACTATCCAAATATAATGCCTTCCAGACGTTTTGATTTATATGGGACTGTGGAAAGTGAATAATGCTATATTACAATAAATATATAGCTTATGAAATAGTTATTTAAATGCATTATTCATTTTTTAAAAACTAGGAATAAATACATAAATAATTTACTAAATGTTTATGTAATCATAAATGCCTGAAATGTATTGATTTCATTTGAAGAACTTGATATAATTATGTAATGGCTAATTGATTGTTTCATGTTCCTGCGCTGAAGCATATCAAGAATTGATTTAAAGTGTCAACTTCACCAATCAAACTCAGGGGGCAGGATTAGAGTAGTATCTATAGGGACCGATACTGTTTCAAACATCAAGTCAGGAGAAGTTCCTCCAGGTTTAACGTGTTGACAAAGTCAGTTTTGTCTTCAGCATCTCATCCATTCATTAAAATTGCCTGTTCCAGTAGATGTTTAATATTCCCTCTAGTTTATCCATTTCTGGATTTGTGTCATTAACTCTGCAAAAACAGATGTTTGTGTGATTACCTTGAGAAAAATGGTGGTGGGCATATCCACAGCGTTCACCTCCAGACCTGAGCTGAGCATCCAGCCAGATGGCCTAAACGTACCTACTCAAACATTTTTATTTGGATGTTAATGTACCTACAGAAGAACTCATAGATCTTAAACTTTTTGTCATATTACAAGCCCAAATCTATTAGATCTATTTAAGTGATAAATCACCACGCAACAGCAAATAATTGTAAAGTGAAACCAAAATTATAGCTGGTTTCCAACAATCTTTTTTTTAAAAAGTGTGGTGTGTGTGCATTATGTATTTTTTCACCTGTGTAATTTAATCTCATTATGCATATATGTTTTCTGTGGAGGCCTTATCAACTGCATTGATTAAAATATGAAGCAGTATTAAGCAGGTTTGGTTACAAATCAATACACCAAGATGTGAATATGTCATGGACCAGTATTCAATTCATCATCTGAAATTAAAAACTGCAAACACGCCAAAACACGACACTCCGCCTAAACTAACAAACCAAATAGGGAGACCATTAATCAGAAAAGCAGCCAAGTGCCTCATGGCAACATTTTGCAGCAATTCACAGGTCAGATGAGAGAATCTGTCAATTGGAGAACTATTGGTTGTGGACACCACAAATCTCATATCTTATGGAAGATTGGCAAGAAGAAAGCCATTGTTTAAAAAAAACAAGCAAACAGAAAAACAATCAGAAGTCCCATTTAAGCCACAAATTATGCACGGTGTAAATCAAAAGTGGAACATGCATCTTCTGCAGAAAAGTAACACCCGGAACAAGCCATCCTCACAAGTCTACACGATGATGGCAGCATCACCCAATGCAGCTGCTTTTCTTTCCAGCAGGGAGAGGGAACAGCAAATCTACACTGCACAAATGGTGTCCATCCACTTTGACTGAGCTCCAGCTATTTTGTTATCAATAATGTGCAAAACCAGTTGAGACATATCCAAAAGACACACGGCTGTTAGTTTAGCAAAAGGTGGTATTTCAAAAGTATTGACTTTTTAGAGCTTTCTCTGCCAAGAATGTTGAAAACTGAGTCTGTTTACTTTCATGAACAGCTATGCTCTTCTTTGTGTTGGTCTATTACATAAGATTCCAGATGAAGACTTACAAATTGGGACAAAGTTCAAAGGATATTAATACTTTACCTGTAGGATCCCTGTGTAGGAGTCTGATGATGACTTTGACCAGTTCTTCCTCAAGTCTCAATATGTGGCACATACATAACAATGTTAAATGGTATGGCTAATACCCACTAAAAATGATGATGTACAACAATGACACGCTTTACTTGTAGGAATGATTTAAACAGACACAACAAACAGCAACAAAGGCATACAAAATCCTGGACTTCATTAATGGTCAGTGGTAAAGGCCAACATTTAAAACATATAAGGCAAAACCCTTTAGGCCACAGACTTTTAAGCTGTTGATCCTAATGTTACTTTCACAAATAGTGTTAAAAAGATTCTAGTGCTAAAGAGGATAATCTTTCAAAAAGCCAATACCTTGCAACATCTGTTGATGTTGCAACAGATGTTGGTAATGTTGGTAATTACTCTGGTAATTACCAACATTACCAGTGTTGGTAATGTTTGCCTGCTTGTAAACACCTGATTTAAATGAATGTGTAATTCACAATGCAGACACTTTGAAGGAATTATTTAATCATTTGAAGCAGGCATGAAGCAGGCTATGAACACCTAATACTTGTATAATCTGAATTCATGTGGAATCCTGAAACTGATAGACAGCTGTAAAAAAAAGTTGATTATTTTTCCCCTCCAAAGTTGTTGCAAGGATTTCTTGAGCAGTTTGCTGCCTTTTTAGCTAACCAACATTTTATGCGTGAGTGGTTCCAGTCCTCAATATCGAGAGTATTGCCAAAACATCTAAAACTTGAGGGATAATACCATGTAAGGACTGGAGAGGTCTTTGGACTTCCTAAGGAAACATAGGACACAAATAAATGAATGTCAAAGCTGTAAACTGAAATCCAACTTGAATGGCAAATCTGTTAAAGAGAGACTTTCATGGAGTTTCTTTAATTTATTCCACAACTTTACCAGTGTCAGAGAGATTTCAGTGATTTGGTATTAACAGCAAATTCTGTCAGTGGTTGGAGGTTCTGGTCCTCTTGTAGATCTTGGTGACCAACTGAGGAAATAGTTGGAGTTGGAGCAGAAAGGTCTAAAACTTGCAAGAAACTGGCTCTTGAAGAACCCACCAAAGGACGGCAGCCAGGGATCCTCAAATCCAGGCCTAGAGGGCCAATGTTCTGCAACTTTTAGATGTGTGCTTGGTTCGACGTGCTTCAGCCACCTTCTCAGTGGAGTCACGTTCTCCAGTGTGCTGCTAATGAGCTGATGATTCGACTCAGGCTTGGTTACACATAGTCGCATCTAAAATCTGCAAGACACCAGCCCTCAAGGCCTGGATTTGAGGATCCCGGGTCTATGGCCTTCTCAAAAACACAAGATAGAAACACGGATGTTATTTCGATGAAGACATAAATCCCAACTGGAATAATAACCTGCAATAAGAAGACTAAGATGGGGATCATTTGATTTATCCCACAAACATCTTGCTGAGGGAGAATAACTATGATTTGTGTTGTTAATAAAATATTTCTAGTATTCCAAATAAAATGCCATGTTTCGATTGCTTATGCTTCAAGTGTGGTGGTCACATCATGATTTCTTGTCTTTGCCCTCATTTGGCTTCAGAAACATAGGGGCGAGACCACAGATGAGGGGGAAATGTTGAAATGATCTTACAATTGGGAAAAGCATGACTACACTAATTGCTCAACTGCATTTACCCATTGATAAGAGAATAACTTCAGAAAAAAATGTTTATTTGTTATCAAATGGATGAAAAAAGAAAAAAAATAAATAAATAACAATTGTAACCCAAAATATGATTTCTAAGAAAAAAGTATCCACTTCTTTAATAGCAATGTCAGAAAATGCAAACATAAATGAGTGGTAAAGTTTTTCAAGATGTCAACTAATGACAAAGAAGAAATGATGTCCTTTTCAACAGTGAACCCCCCCTTTATAGCTTTTTATTTGAGCTTTACTGTCTTCACCACGAATCGGAGCGTATGCTCTTTCTTTCTCTCTATAAAAAAGTACAAACAAAGCAAAACAGAAATCAATGTACCCCAGGACAAGAACGCCATGGTTGAGAAGAAAGGGCACCTTGTATTTGTTGGACAACTGCAAGTAGTTAAATATTCATGCAACTTTAGAAACATCTCTGTGTAGATTTCTAGGCTAACAATACATTTTTTTTATTCTTCATGAATATCAATATGATTCTCCACAGTCTGGTTAAAGTCTTTCTCCATGTAAATTAACAGATAGATTTTTGTAATGAAATCTGTTGATAAATCATATCTTCAGTCTGTACAATAGAGGTACTAAAAATTACAACTGTCATGGTATATGTACAATTTACTACCTACAAAGTACAACAGATAGCATGTAATAAAATATGTAAACAAATTTCTCTTTTTTGTTTTTGTTTTTTTGACACAGTTGACTGTGACAGCAGATAGAATTCACACTTTCAACATCTGGTTTATTTCTGTATACACATTGGTTAACAGTGTAGTAGTACTGCATCTGTGTTCATCCTGACACCTCCATAGAAAAAGAGAATGATAGGCAATGAACCAACACACACTTGTGCAGATAGATAAAACCACCACAGACTGTGCAGCAAGAAGAGATCTGTTTGAGGGGTTTCGAGAAGAGGTGGCGGGGGGAGTCCTGATCCTAGATGAAGAACTGCCTTTGTGTTATCCAAGCTGAACACTCTTTACTGGACTTTTACTGTACTGCACCTTACTGTGGAATCAGGATGGCATGCATTTTACAATCAGGCGCTTCTTACCAAGAGAACCGACAAATTCTTCCCACAAAGAGAGTCACTGTGTCTGTCAGACAATGAGAATAATTGTGGTGAATTAGATGCCAGAGCAAACAGATGGTATGAGGTCTGCCCTTGGCAATTGGCTCACTTGGATTCATATTATACACATAAAATAGTTTTCTTTTCTTACTGTTCTCTTTGAATCTTTTTTTTTTCTTTTGCTTTAAGCAAAAATAAGTAAGACACCACACTTATATTATGTATAAACCATAAAAATCTGTAATATTTTGATTACAAGAGTCCTTTGTGTGCCTGACCCCCTCTCGTTAAGCACTACTTGTTGCTTACATGCTGGAAACGTTTAAGATAATGAGCCTTTTGTAATTAACAATTTCACAAAAATTGTTTAATGCCAAGGATCACGTAGCTCTAAAAGTCACTTAGGAGAATGATGCTGTGAAATATTTGTATACCGACAATGTCTCTGACCAGATAGAAGTGTAAGGTTTCTAAAGTTGCTATTTAACCTTGCCATTAAGCCTTTTGCTTAATAGTAAGTGTGCTTTATGTTACAGTACATATCAGTTCAACTATTCAGCACAGTATAGAATTATTCAAGTCCCATGTTATACCATCATTTGTCAAAGCTCCTCACAGGGAAACTGGTAATAAAAGTTCTCTCAGTGCCTTCTCTCTTTGTTCTGTCGTGTTGACCAAAGTCTCAGTCACACATAATACTCCTTATCCTTGTTTTTCTGTCTCTTGTTGCTGCCTTTCAGGCTCTGCTGTTTGTCCTTCATGACAGCGCCATTGCTCTGCACAGCCGAGTTGGTTATGTAGTGCCGGCTCTCGTCCACCTGGTAGGAGCCTTCATCCCTGTTCCTGTACTTATACATGGCGTACAGGAGGATAAGGATGCACAGCGCTGCGGCCGCCACTATTCCGATGACCATCCCGGTGGTGCTGCTAGATTCACGGACCACCTCCGAGGGCCCCGGGACTCGCCTGACGCCTGGCTCTGTGGGGAGTGCTGTGGGTATATTATGGAACATGACGGAAATTATTAATGGGCCCCTCAGCTTGCTGCTGTCTACCTCACAGGATGTGGCAATAGAAGCAACACTAGGTTGGGGCTGGGGTTTTTAGCTCGCGGTTTTTTGTTTTGCCGGAGAATTGTGGAGGGATGTGGTGGAGGCAGAGGTGCTAGTGGTGCGGCTCTGGTTGGCGGTTACTGGTATGGTGGTTGTCCTACTGCATCTGAAGATGGAAGGTTTGTTTGGTATAAAAGTCCTGGGCGCCTGTGCTTTGTAGTCACCTTGAAAGTGTGATGTAGGTCTTAACAAGGAGGAGTTCGAGTGAAAATCTTCATCATCATCAGTGGGGGCAGGTAAGACTTCAACGCTTTCCCAGAGCCATACCCCGATATCACCAAGCCATCATCATCACAATCATCGCTGCCTCGGTCCGACAAGCAAGGTACCCCCGCCTCAGTGGCCTTGGACAAGGACTCTTTGGTGGTCTCAATAATGGTGAGGAGTGGGTGGTGGGTTGAGGGAGTGGGAATGAAGGGTGCACGGGGAGCTACAAAGGGGTGCTCTAATGGATCCTCAATGACTAATTCAGCTCCTGGAAGTGGAAAAAGATTTATTTTAGAACCAAACCCTGTGATTTATGAACCAAACAAAGCCAGCAAAAGCCATATATGAAAACATCTTAAAAGGCTTAAGAGCTAAAATGGGAGCCAGAAGGACAATTTAAACTTTGATTATATTTCAGTTTATTTCAGCCACTAAACCCTGGCATTAATTTTGCTTGTCATGATCAAATTAATCTAACTTAATCAGATTGTTTGACTTCAGAACAAACCCATGCCATTAGGGCTCCACAGGCATCCTTGGCTTTTGCTCTGAGTTCTTTGTGTCAACCTGCTTTGTTTAATTTTCTCCAACCCTGAATTTGCATTTGCAGCTCAAGTCCAGTCCTTGAGAGCTTCCATCCTGCAACTTTCCCCTGCATCCTTCCTCCAGCACACCTGAATCAAACGAATGGCACATTGCCAGACCCATTCAGAGTTGAATGACTGCTTGTGAGGGAATTCTGCCATTTGATCCAGATCTGTTGAAGTAAGGATGCATCTAATAGTTGCAGGACGGTAGCTCTCGAGGACTGGACTTGAGCACCCATCGCTCTGAAGGACATTAAAAAAATATTGCAGCTCATCCTGAAAGCACTGCAAATTAGCAAAAGAAAAAGAAAATAATTTCTCTAAAGACAGTGCTGATGTCTTTCCTCTGGCAAAGTATACAGATTCCTGCTTTCATACGAGTCCTCTGATAATAATTTAATGTTATGTGTTGCTTTGGTTGTTGCTACTTTCTTTTTTAAATTCTGTCAAAAGGCAAAAAGCTAAACATCATTTTACACAATAACTGTACATTTCGTATAACTTGTAGGGTTGCTGTTGTTCACATTTACTGAGTGAATGCTCAGCCAGCTCTTTCCCTAGTACTGGTCCTTGAAACATACTTGCATGCCTTGCATGTTTCAGCTTTTCCTCTGTTTTAGGACACATGGTTTAAATTGACGCGTTAAATTACTAGCCTTCAGCAAATCTTGATATCCAGCTGCTGGGGGACTTCTAACGTGTACCCCCATCCAACACTGCAAGGCCAGGAAGTGATCCAAAGAACTGATTTTATTTATTGTGAAACCAATTGTAGTATTGCTACTCAGTGGCTCCCAGTTCATCTTAAGCCTCTTTTTACTGAGAGTAACACACATAAATGTAGCAACACCTTCATAAATAGTTCTCAGATGCAGAGCTGAATCCTTCATTAGTGTTGTAGAGTGAGTCTAATTTAGATTTCTAATTTAAAAGTAGCAACTGAGAAAAAAAAAAAAAAGGTCAGCATTCCTTGTTTGTACATTTGCTCTGCAATTCTATTATCAAATTCCAGTAAACTGATGTTGTTAGTGAGTTATTTGCCCATTTTGCATAACAACCTGGCTAGCCATAATTAGCAAGCTCTGTAGGTGGGCCTTGTTGTAACAACAAAAGCATCCTACAGGGTAGAAGAGTAGATAGTAAAAGAGGGTTTTTCACATGACCCACAATTGCATCATGTTGTCTTGAGTGTATTTTGTTGTAGAATAACTCTGTTACCAGAAGCAGCTCTGTCACCAGACAACATTTGTTTAGTTTGCATTTAAAAGCAAGGCTTTTAAATGTTCACCCCTTATGAAACAGCACTCCGAATGAAAGGCATTCTTTACAATTTTGCTACGGTCTCCTTTTTTGTTGTTGTTTTAGAGACAAACAGGATGGGAAAGGGTGGAATCATAACCGTTCCTTTAATTTACAAATTACTGCTCAAACACCAGGTAGTTTGTTTTACCTTATAAATATAAATGTACCATGTAAACTTTGGAGTTTGGCTTCAAGTAATTTTGATTATTTTTATTGAGTAATGGCAGTAGGAAACGGGAAACAAATTGGTACTGCTCCATCAATGTTCAAACCCTTACCTATTGTCAAGAGAGATAGATAATACTGTAAAGAATGAGCTCCAGAATATACATTTCTAAAATTTGCATTCTTTGTAGGATAGCCAGACCAGTTATGCAAAGAGGTTCCTCATCCAGTTTGAGCTCTGGATACTTATCCAAATCCCAAAGAGTCAGCTGAGGTCCTTCATCTGATCAGGATACTGTCTGGACACCTACCAGTGGAAGCACTGGGCTTATCCCAGTGGAAGGAGTCTCCTAGCCAGGCCCTAAACTCACCAGAGGAGCTGTACATCCAATAGACAATTTAATAAAAAACATTTTGCCTTTTGGAATGATTGGTTATAAGGTCGACGGTGTCATTTAAGCAATGCTCAGTTGTTAAAAAAAAAAAAAAAAGTATCAGGCAATGTTTTTCCAATTGATTGTTACTCCATTTTGTCGAACATATGTGAAATGTAGCCTTATTGTCCTATTCTTCGCCAACAGAAGTGGGATATTCTGCTGCTGTAGATCATCTGTTTTAAGGCTTTGACATGTTGCATGTTCAAAGATTGTATTTGACATGTTAATAAGTGGCTATTTGAACTACAGATGCCTTTGTGTCATCTTGAAACAGTCTGCTCATTCTCTTCTGACACGAACAGGGCTTTTGCTTCTTATTGTGGATATTTTCTCATTTTTAGAAAATTTTAATTCCAGATGTGTTAATGGGTGAAAATCCAAGCATGTCAGCAGATTCTGAAATACCCAGACCAAACCGTCTTACACCAACAACAACATCCTTGGGAAAAGGGAACTTTGGGGTTTTTCCTTTCGGCCTGGTACAGCTAGGATCCAGCTTTTGATAAGAGGAAAGAAATGGATAGACAGGCTACTTTCTTTTTACTTCCCCTAAAGAAAATCCAACAGTTTTTGACATATTCTGGGCAATTTCCAATACTTTTCAGATTTTATAAAAATGCTGAGTGTTGCATAGCACAAAACAATATTTGGGCCATGTGCTGTTATAACTGGAGTGAACATTCAAAGCACCAACTCATTAACATGAAAGTACCCACTGTCACTTGGTATGTCTTTTGCAGTCGTTCATGCAAGTTAACACTTCATACAAAACATTGCTTCACACACTTCAACTGCAAACACATCCAATTACAGACATACAACACGTGCCTAAACAAAGGCCTTCTGTAGCTTTTCGAACTTGACTGAAGATTTATCAGCTGTAACATGACCACATATCAAACAAAGATGCAGGCTGCAGGTTTTCAAGGACATATTTATCCAACTGGCGTCATCATCTGATTTTAGTAAATGATAACGGAAAGCTTTTGAAATGTGTCAGTTTACAAACTGCATCTTAAACAAGCATCACGAAAGAGAATCAGAGCATGCACATTGTGTGTCATTCACTTACATCCACAATTTGCCCGCATGATTTTTAGGCAAGAGGAAAAGAATTTACAAAGGAAAAAATGTGTAAAAATGTAGGATAGCCACTTGGTACCGTTAAAGATAATTTTTATCCACTCTAGAATGGGTTCTATCTTAAAACAATGACGGTACAGGGAGGCAACAGCACATACATCCACACCACATAACAGAAAAATAAACACCATATTTCTGCTTTTTATCCTTTGTTTCTCTTTCCTTGTAAATATTTTTTTTACAAAAAAATCTGCTTTTTTTTCATAGCAAGAGACTTCAGTGAGCCTAAAATCTATCCATGTTACAATTTTTGCTTAATTTGCTCTTTAGTGTAGAATGGATGGATGACTTTATATTTCAATATTTCTAAAGACAAGGGAGGAGGTGAAGAAGGGGTTGGACCTATGAACATACTACAGAGGAGATGAGGATGATGAGGGTGACAGTGTAAGTCAGTTGCCATGTCCATGTAAAGGCAGTACGAAGCGGTCGGGCGGCATTAGAGGTTTTGGCTGTAAGGAAGGGATGGGGATATACAAACAATGAGCAATATACATGCCCATCTACAGAAAAGAACAGAAGAACTCTAACACTGACATGTCTTACAAACCCTAAACTGCAACTTCTTAGCCATGCAATTCAATTTGTATTGTTCTTACAGTAAAGATACACTCCCTGACAAAAACAGTGACCCACCCTGAGAAATGGCCTGATTTGGATCTAGTTTGATTCACATGTGGACCAGAGATACGAATGCAAATTACTCGTTTTGCAAGGAGCTAGCACATCTCAAAAAAGGCACTAGAGAGCTTGAGGGATGAGATCAGGAGTGGAGTGATTCATTCAATAGTTAGTTAGAAAAGTGAGTTAATTTCACCATACAGAAACGATAGCATTACTAGCACTTGATGGGATTTTATAGGGTAACAATGCGAGTTGCATGAGGATCAAACACAACACATTTATCTGATGCTAAAACCAGAAGCGTTGTCAAGGTTCTGGTCACCCAAGACAGGAGAAAATCACTGTGCTGCACTGCAGACAAAACCAAACTCCATGGCATTTTGCATCTGCCAATACTGGCAGTATTTTTCATTCATGTGTTCAAATAAAGACTTTGGTACCTCCTCATCTAGGATACACAATCATAGTGAATGTATAAGCTAGATGACTCATGATACCATGATTATAAAATTATTGACGTCATAATGAGACCAGGAGTATGAACTAAGTTTAGTTTGTTTAGGTGATGAACTATGAAACTAAATTTACTTCATTTTAACTTTGAAAACTCAGCCTACAAATAGTCCTTAATGAGAGTGACCGGCTGAACACTGGGTAGACCTATTGGACTTTTAAAAGCCTTAGAGGTAGATTACAGGTTTACCCTCACATGTGTAGTCTAACAAAGCAGAGATCAGTAACCATAAAGAAAAAAAAAAAAAAAATGAAGGACTTTCATATTTAGTGATGGACTGCAATTATTTTACGCATGTGCCCAGATATAAAGAAACGATAACCAATCCTGCCAATTCTGTCAAGAGAGACACTAGATATCATGATGGGGGTCACAAAGTTCAAGTTATCCACAGTAGTAATTTGGAGGACAATGATGGGATAAGTCTTGGTGTCCTCTGAAGCAGTGGCATGATGCAGTCACTCACACAAGACAATTGCACATATGGTATGTGCAT